TACACTCACTGTATGCTCATACACTCACTGTATGCTCAATACACTCACTGTCAATACACTCACTGTATGCTCAATACACTCACTGTATGCTGAATACACTCACTGTATGCTCAATGCACTCACTGTATGCTACATGCATCTTTTGACAACTACATTGGATTGCCTCTAGGGTTTTAGATTTTTAGGGTTTAGAACCCCCTAGAAAGGTAAGCACCAGACAGAGACACCGTCCGATCCTGGTGCAAACCTACGTCTATCCACCCGGAAGAAACACAAACACGGTACTGTTCTGATACCTTGAATGCCGCCGGCCGAAGATTCGTAACTTGGGCGGCGTAAGCATACAGGTCGGCGACTTTGTTTTGTTTGAGAAATTTGCGATTTTGTCGAGACCCATCTGCGCATGAAAAAGGATACTATCAATTGGCATAGCCCACTATATCACACGCACAGATTCAATACTTTGACACCCTCAGAAACGACTCTTCGATTGTACGTCGGAAATAGGCGTTTAACACCTGGACATTCGCAACCAAACGGGAGGCGCATACACTGACCACGCAGTATCAGAAAGTACATCTGCACTTGGGCTAAAACTGACTATCGCGTCCTGAGAACTTCTGAGCGTCGGCGGACAAAGTAAACTGTACGTAGTGCCTGAATAGCCAATCGCTAACCTTGGGGGCTGTGTTTGGGAATCTAACCATTCAGTACACAACGCGATATGTGAAGTATGTCCTCAAGCGAACTATCTACACCCTATACATGGACCATCCAAACCAAGACGCTCGAGGCTCTGCAAACTACAACAACTATTTCAACCTCAGACAACAAGCGAACTACCTACACCCTATACACAGACCATCCAAACCAAGAAGCTCGAGGCTCATGCAAATTACAACTATTTCAAACCCTCAGACAACAAGCGAAATATGGCATTCATCGCAAATACAAGCAACACATACCAGGCAGCTTGAAGACTATGCGCGTAACTAAGGTTGCCTCTGTGGTGCTGGGTGGGGTGGGGGGTGCTGTGCTTGTGATAGTGTGGGCTGCTTTGGGACTCGCGAGTGGCGAGCGTTCGTTCTGGGGGAAGATTGCAATTCAAGAAGGGTGTTAGGATACAAGCGAGATACTTGGATCGAAAACAGGCGTACACCAATACATCACACTTGGGCAGGCAAGTAGACTCATGCTCTTCAGAGAAAAACTAGCCATGAACTGGTGTTCTGGGCTCAACATGTCACAGTACTATCTTGAATATACCAGTGTGTTAAAGACTGAACGGAACCAAGATACAAGCGTTTGCTGTGAATTTGTAACTTCAGTTGCCTGCAGGCATCAATATACGATGAAAATCGCCACAAAGTACATTGGGATATATGGTCTCTATATATAGTATACTCACTTCTTTATCGGATGCAACTACGTCCGCGTCGGGATCCGACTCCGACTCCGAATCCGGATCTGAATCCGAGTCCGAATTTACTATTTTCAACCTACTTTTAGGTTTATCAGTTGGTTTCGCTGTTGAGTAATATATGGAGAAGAGTATCGGGGTGTTAATTTCACATCCTAGAGTTATCGCAAGATTACATGGCATGGCACTGCACCGACTGTGCAGTCGAGCACCACACCACTTTAATCTGATTCAAATCTGTCGTCACGTGATCTGCCACAAAAGTTGCGATGTGAACTACGAAAGGTACGAGATGAATCTCAGTAGATGTCGCTGTCCACATGGTATATGTGTGAACTACGGAAGGTAAGAGATGATTCTCAGTAGATGTCGCTGTCCACATGGTGTATGGGGAAGGGCCTCAGTGTGAGAGAGATGCGCACTCTGGCTTGGCGAATGAAGGCCAGAATACGTAAAATATCCCCATTTTGAAGATTGACAGTTCACAATACGTAAAAAATGCCAATTTTGAAGATTGAAGACTAGGCACAGTTCACAACTGCGTAGATAAATGAACTTTATCACTCACAACCTCTCATCTCACCACTGCCCACTGCCCCGCCCCAACGATAGTTGTGACGGACAAATGACAACGCGGCAAGGATATGCTGCATGATGAGATAGCTGAAAACAATACACTACGATACCGCAGAAAATGCGAGAACATGTATATCTATATCTATGTATATATATATATATATATTATAAATATATGTATGTATGTATGTATGTATGTATGTATGTATGTATGTATGTATGTATGTATGTATATATGTATATTGTATATATGTATGTATGTATGTATGTATGTGTGTGTGTATGTATGTATGTATGTATGTATGTATATGTATATATATATTTATATATATATATATATATATATTATATATATATACATATATAAATATGTGTGTGTGTGTGTGTGTGTGTGTGTGTGTGTGTGTCTCTGTGTGTGTGTGTGTGTGTGTGTGTGTGTGTGTGTCTGTGTGTGTCTGTGTGTGCGTGTGTGTGCGTGTGTGTGTGTGTTTGTGTATGTATGTATGTGTGCGTGTGTGTGTGCGTGTGTATGTGTGTTTGGGTATGTATGTATGTGTGCGTGCGTGTGTGTGTGTGCGTGTGTATGTGTGTTTGTGTATGTATGTATGTGTGCGTGTGTGTGTGTGTGTGTGTGTGTTTCAAGACACGCTACAGTTTCAAGCGACTGAGCATCATTCCAGTACTCACGGGTTCTATGACAACTAGATTCCAAAAACCACATACATGCCTGAGGGTACTTGCCAATTGTAACTAATAAACCCGTACTTACAAGACGTATCTTCTGCAACCTCGGCCAGTGACGCAGCAATCGCAGCAGCGATTTGCGCCTCTTCGCTCAGATCCATAACCGGCTTGGTTTTCTTGGTACGATCCCTTTTTGTGCGTTCGTTCGGCAGTATATTCTCATCCAAAAACCGCTCCGACGCACTGAGGAACATATCCGCGCTCACTGGTGTGATAGAGTGGGTATGTTGCAGTGCTTTAGAAGCAGGACCCGAAAGGTCATTCTTCTAATCTTATCATGAGAGCGGGGGGAGGAAGGAGTAGCATAATAGTACCCCGATATGGCAGTCGTATCAAGTCATGGAGGCATACACGTGTGGGTGCATGGGTTCAAAGCAAATGCATAGGAGTGAACGCTAGTTATAGATAGACGCCGTTGCCATGTACCAACTCGGCAAGCATGGATACGTCCAGCTTAGTATCCGAACACATGTGAGTATAATTTACACATACGGCGAAACAGTCATCGGCACAGAACTGCGCCTGGATTCGATCCAACGACAGACACGGTGCCAAATCAATCACTCAACAACTTCGTAAATAGCGCTTTAAAAAAAAAAATTTAGCTAAGAACAAACATACCTGCCACTCCCACGAAAAGCTCGGCCACCTTCTCGCCGGTGTGGGGATCTAGTACGGCGACGTACGGGTATTGTTTAACTGGGTATAGCGCCTCGTACTTCTCAGCTTCGGGACTATCGTCGTTTTTCTGCCATAAAAGGTATGACCTGCAAACAACAAGGAAAGCGGTCGGTACAACTAAGCGGCTAAGTTACACATGCTTCACACAGTAATCTAGTGTGCTAGAGGCCCTATCACAACGCGCAGCTATAGACCAGCATGATTCACACCCCATAGTCATGCGTCCGAAACAAAGCTGTAAACCAGATTAAGGTTTGACGCGGTGGCCCCACCCACCGTGAAGCTATAGACCTACTCTGTGATGACATGGTGAACGCGTGTATCCTTCCAACAGTCTCTGTTGAGCGTGTGGCTGTGGAACACATCTTGTCTCTGTATGTTGACTATCAACCACCGCCCCTGTGCCGCCGCATATTCCTTGGAGCCAGCGAACGTGCCCTACAGTGTAAAGTGATTTTATTTTAAAGGGTTTTGGCGAGAATTGTCGGTGTGTTCCGTTCTGCTCAGTCGTGCGCACTAAGCAGTTCGCTACCCCTTATACAATTCTGTTGAAAAGTGTGCCACGAAGAATACCCCACCCGTTACCTGCAGCCTTGCAACAAAAGGCGTAAACGAAAATAACCCAGGCATTCAATGCACCCTATTAGTGATATTTGTCCCAAAAGTTTATCTTGAAAATTGCTGATTAAGTATTGGGGTGGGGGAAACATGAAATCCCAGGTGTAATGACCCGCTGTCACAATCGATACCACGCTCAAGTGCTGGCAATAACTAATAGTAACTAGTCAGTTCGGTATTCTGCACGCCTACCAAGAAACAGATGGACGGCTGGCTAAAAAGGGCTATCAATCTCGCTCTCCTCCTTAACTCCTCTTCACTTGTTATCTCGACGTTGCTATGGATAAAGGCCAGTGGTCCCCTTTTCCTTACCGGCCCTTGCTCGAAGCGCACTGCACACGGTTAAGGTTTAGAATTATCTAAGGGTGCGGCAATGTACTTAGGTCTAAACCATTAAATATATATATATATATATATATATATGTATGTATATATATATATGTGTGTGTGTGTGTGTGTGTGTGTGTGTGTGTGTGTGTGTGTGTGTGT